AAGAAGCTAATTCTAGCTTCTGAGCCTCGAGATCCCGCTTTCTGTTGAATTCCTTGCGAAACTTGTCCATGTTGTTTGACTTCGTATCACGCTCTCCCTGTCTCACCATCACATTGCAAGGATAGCGTGAGAGCAGCGCATCTTTCTTTGCTGACAGCAGTACACAGGCTAACGCATTTTCGCGATCCCACGCTGGCTGAGGCCAAGTGTTCGCCAAGAATGTCGTTTCCAAAGCAGACAAGAAAGATTTGAGGACCATAGTGTGGTTTTGCGATGCATGTGCCTTTGAGTGCGTTTTCCAGCTCTTCGGGCGTGTCTGGGTATGGCTTGTCCCGCGCAGGAAATACGAGAAAAAGGCAGTCCGGCAATTTGACAAGATGACTCGCACCAAGTTCTTTGAGCGGTGCCGTGTCAGTCCCTGCTCGAAATCGTATATAAGCGTTACATAAGGTCAAACGTGCCAAAGCGTCGCAGTGCACCTGACCTTCACGCGGTCTCTGCCGAAACACGCCACCACTCAGGAGTGCCAAGGGTCATGTGCAGCACATGAACATGAAGCCTGACATCGTTGCCTTTATCGGGAGGAGGTGTGATGTCGATGTCGAACTCCTCCTCGTTCTTTCAAAGGCACTCGTGCACGCAATGCCTCTTTCCCACGTGCCAGACCGGCTTGACTGCCTCACGGATGTTGATGGATGCTGAGTGATGTGGTCACAACCGACGCAGTCTCTGCAGTCTTTCTGAAGCCTTGCATTCGGGTAGCAGGCCCAACTTTCAGCGCGGCTTCGGCGTCTCCAAGAGACCACCTATTTATGCCGCAGGGCTGCAGGGAATTACGACACTCATGGGCAGTCTCGCGTCTGGTGCTTTGCAGAAGGCCGGCATCGACAACGACCTGAGCCCCGGCGAGCTCGGAGCTCGACATGCGATTCTCCGTCTCGACGGATGCGATTCTTTTGTCTTAGGTACGACACCCATCTTGTCGGTGCAATGGTGTGGGAGAAGGAGATCGGTCTTTCCCACCCGGCGCAGAAGCAGTGCTCCAGATGCAACGCTGACCACGGTTTTCGCTTTCGCCCAGTGTTATTATTGAGTCAGAGTTCTGAGCTCAAGACATCTGCAGAACCTGCTTGCTGCGGTTGTTCGAGGCTTTCGTCTCACAAATCCCCATCGCTCGTCACCTTTACCCAGCAGAAGGGTATAGGCAAGCTCGGGATGCACCCGTAACAGTGGTTTTTGTTGTAGACACGCTCTCGTCTTCACAGGTCTTTCACAGGCGAAAATCACTGGTGCACCCGGACCTGGCCACTACAAGGCACCGGACTACTGGGATGCCACCTGGACTCTCGGCAGAACAACGAGATAACTTTTCAGTTGACTAAGAGTGTGAGCTGAGGCAGCATCACCCACCAGCTGGAACCAGCTTCGCGAGAACACCGCCCGAGCCTGGTGACTCACGGCCGCCTGACATGACAAAAGCCAAGCAGTCCCTCGCAATGGACCAGCGATTGTCCCCAGGTTCGGTGGACTAGCCAAGGGCATCCTGAAGAACTGACCTTGCCGGGGAGGCAAGCGAGGTTCCGGTGCGATGGATGATCGCAGCATATCCATAGAACGCAGGAAAGTGTCCAGAGACGCGGGTAGTGGCCTGTTGACAAGTTGAGGTATGCAGACCTCACAGCTATGTCCAGACTTTGTCAAACAAAGTCTGCTGATGATGCATGCAAAGCAAAAGAAAAAAGTGGAAGCACAAGCGTCCTCCATGCGGCCACTGCCACTCTTTTCTGAGGCGGTCGAAGACCGTTGTTGCACTGCCTCTAAGCGATCCCAGGTTCGCTCGCCGCGATTTCGAGGGCATATCTCTCGAGGAGGCAGGGGTGCAGGAGCAGGGGAGGTGTGAAACTTTCCGAGGCTTAGAGCCTTGCACGGGGGCAGGCAGCCCTTGTTGGCTTTGCCTCCGCCAGACTCGCGAGAGGCAGGAAACTTGGTCCTATGTACACACACACACACACACACACGTACACATACACCCCAAACGCAGTTTCGCGTAGCCAGTGAGCGGTCCGGTCAGGGCGAATGAGTTGAGGTTACATGCTGATTTGATACGGGTGCGTGTGGGTATTGAGACTTACTAAGAGCCCGCCGTTAGCTTCCATTTAATGGTCGACTTCCTCTTCCTACAAACCGTTCGGCGGTCGTCCCTTTTGTATCGCTCCATGCCGTACTGGTGGCATCGGTCCGAGGATGGTGGATGCTGAGGTGACAGGCAGGTTCTGCCATGAGCAGCTGCAAGTAAGGCCAGGGTCACGGGCACGTCTTTGATAGGATTCCACATGTTCCGCATTGTCTTTTGAAAGTGGATGATGAGGATGGAGAGTGCTCAGCACGATTCAAGTGAACGCGAAATGGGACAGACCAGAAGCTTTTTCCTGAACCCACCGAAATCAAGGACACTATGCCATTTTGCGACGGTTCCATTGTGTTTCGAAGCAGGCTCGCTGATACTGTTGCGTTTCTCCAGCGTGCGTTGCATGCGCCGAGTTGATCAAGCAAGTTCTGGCGTTCGAAGTTCGACTGTGGCCATTAAAACTCAAGAATTCATGAACCTAAAGCGATGCGAGATGGCCAGCGAAAAATCTGAACGGATGTGCATGGATGTGCTGGGTTGTCGGACGAGCTTGAGCAGGAGGGGAATCGCAAAGGGGCATCAAAGGGGCGGTCAAGGATGTTTGCAGTGCTCGGGAAGGCTCCCGGTAAGCTCAGAAGTGTGGGACTCCCATGCTCATTGATCAGCCGATAAGCAGTGCTGCGAACTGCCTGGAGGCTTAAAGGGAGTGCACACAAAGCTACACATCGTTGAGGCACAAGCTGATGTAGATTTTAGGCCGAAATCCGGCTCCGAGGTTCTTCCTTGGCGCACTGCCGTTGCGTTGGCACGCTCGCTCATCGCTTTGCACTGCTGGCTTCTCAGATGGCGGCCTTCTCTTCAAATTTGCTGCATGGTGTCGCAAGACTTTTCAAACCACAGGTAGTGGTGGACAAGCACTGACGCAGCCAGATGGCAAGAGCTCTCTGACGCCTGTAGCGGAGGCCCGGTCGCCAAGAGCCCCTCAGCCAAAAGTCCAAGCAACGCAGACGAGGGTCGCATTGATAAATGCTTCGAACTCAGACGGTTCCATACCTGCACAATCACCCAAGTGCGCTAAGCAGCGTTGCGGTCGATCAGATATAAACCGTGCTGACATGAGCAGCCGCAGGTCATGAGGACAAGGCCGAGCCCGGGCAGAAGTAGTGGTCTGGTGCGGCTTTGGCTTCGAGACATCGGAAGTGGGCCGAGTAGTGGGTGCTTCTACGACATGACAGGCTGCACCTGGCGGTCTCGCTGATCCCATCCCTTTTGGAAGAGGCGAAAAGATGGCGCAGACAAAATCTCCTGCTCAGGGACAGCGGCAACAGCACTTTGAGTTGCAGGTGCAGCTGGTAGTGGTGGTAGTATGAGAAGGAGTAGCACTAGCGGAAGGAACATTCATATGTCAGTTATTATTACCGTCTCCATGAAAAGTGAGGTTAGGATAAGCATATTTCCGGTTATCCCAGCACTTGCAGTGACACTCATTGGCAAGAGCCCGAAGACTAAGAGCAACAGTAGTTACGATGAATATGAAACCGCGCTTCGAACAGGTCCACGACCAGGCAGCCTGGGAGGTGCCTGTTGACCTTCTTTAAGTGTCGACACAAAAGCTCGGCAGTCACAGTAAGCCTGTGTGTTCCAGAGACTCCATGGTGTGATTCGTCTTCCGACAGGCTGCATGCAAGGTCTGGATCAGCACTGATGAAGCGACACGCGCTCCTGGCCACTATCAACCAGCCTGTTCATGCTGACGCAGACCTACATTCAACACTGACCCAAATCAAGCAAGTATCCCTCGAGCCATGATGCAGCAGCGCCGATATGCCAAGAGGCAAGCACCCTAGATGAAAAACTGGAGTCAAGGAGGTGAGCAGATCGTTCCTTCTCAACCTTACACTTCAGGTCAGGCGCTCTGGCCGTGTTACTGGCGCTTCATCTGCAACAGACGCTACAGTTGCAGGCTTCCAAGCAGCCCAGCTAAGGTTTTCGGGACCTTTGCATGGACCTTCGTGGGTCCAGCCGGTCAGGCTTGGTGAAGATGCTACAAGCACTTCCTGGTCTATTTTCCGGCAGCAGTGTTCACATCTCGACTCGACAGCGACGCATGCTGTGCCGAACTCCGTCTTTGTTGAGATTTCTCGTCGTTGGTGAGACTTCTCGTTGAATGCCTCCTCAAGCCTTTTCAAACTCTCTTGCCGGTTTCTGAGTGCGGTGTGGAGTTTTCCAGGCATCCACACGCAGAAACATCGGAAGGCATGAGCCGTTCGCGCCCGAATCGAAAACCCCATCGCGTGCTGCATGAGTCTACTGGAGATTCCTCCACCAGTCTCCCTTGCCTTCACCCTGAAGCCATATCATGTAGGAATCCAAGCCATGCGTCCCCCATGTTGTACACTCTCCCCGAACCAAAAGAACCGCCAAGGCTGTGTTAACCCTCGGCTCAGGCTGCACACACCAAGCAATACACCCCACCAACCACCATACCAAAGGGCAGGCCAAGATGCAAACGTCTGGTTTATCTGACAAAGTTGGCTCGCCGTTCTGGCGAGGCAAGAGGGCTCAGCCCAAAACCCTCCGACATTGCGACGGCAGGCGTGGCGGGAAGCCCGCGACGGATTGTCAAAGACGTGCTCGGTGTTAGTCTGCTACACAGTAGTGCATCCAGGCGCTGGCATCTTTGCGCTGCCAGAAGTGGCGACCCAGGGCTGCAATCCCTGTGCTTTGCTTGCGCCAGACCTGTGGACTGACTTCATGCCTTGAGCATTGAGGAAGGCTGACAGTGAGGTGCTTTCTGCGTTCCTAGGCAGGGCGCAGAGCTCGCTTCTCTGAGAATCAGCTTCTAGAGTCAGATCCTGGCCAGGCACGAGTGATGGTTCGGCGGGAGAGCCTTGACCACACACAGATGCGTGACGAAAAGCAAGTCTTGGTTGGCTTCGATCCTGTCTGGCGAAGAAACGGCCAGGAAGGTAGCTACATCAAGTGGGGCTTTGAGCAGCAAGCCTTCGCTGTCGTGTGTCTCGGCCCTGAATCATGCTGAGTTTTTGTGAGGGATTCTGATGCGGGTCTTGTTCGCGGACTCGTGGCACATCATGTTTGAAGCATCTAACGCACGAAGCAGCGGTCGAATTTCGGGTGTGGGATCAGCCCTCGAGTACAGCCCGAGCATCGGTATTACGAGCGCTTGAGATAATCAGAGTCGGTTATCCCAGCTTGCGAGAGAGTCAGGGCATTGCTTCTGCAGGTTTTTTGTCCTTTTTCCGTTTGGCACCCTCTATCTCATCTTTTCTGGCCGCTTGGGCTGGTGGAATCTTGGCTCCAATGCGAACTTGTAAAGAGCAGCATGGTACCGGGATTGTGTAGTGCCGGATGGTTCCCGTTGTCTGCACAGTAGACCTGGTGCTGACACCTGACCTTACATGCCCTGGTGCTCTGGATCATCCCACATCCCGGACTAACCAAGGAATTACGACGAGAGTGGCAAGGAGTACACTGCTGAGGCTGCAGCCGCGAGGGACAACTATCGAACTTGTTCGCTCTGATGGTGATGACGATGCTGACACGGCGGCTGCCGCTGATGATGTTCATGGTGATTCATGTGCTGACTACTGTTATCAGTTCTCATATTGCATGGCATGGCCTTTGTCATCATAGCTGCTCCCAGGAGTACCGGAAGGCGAACAGTGTGGAGAAGCCGACCTGGGGCCGGTTCCCTTGGGAGCTGGAAAGCGACCTTTACAAAAAGTAGGAAGAACGGCCACCGCGAGAGTCTATCCGTTTAGGATTATATATATATATATATATATAAGATATAGTCGGCGGTTCCAAGAATGAATGCGCTGCAATTTTATGTATTGTTAAGCAGATCTCCCGTCACGCTTCTCGAAGATTCGTTTCCACCGCGGCTTACTGATCATCTGCTATCAGAGCTGCGCCTTTTAATCGCGATCAAGAGCGACGGTACCAGTGGATTTCGCCCAAAGTGGAGTTAGATCGTTAATATCTGTTGAAAAAAGCTGCCCCATGCAATGTCGTTTGAGATTGCCGGTCACTTGAATTAACGGGTTCAAAGAAGTCATTGAATCGCCGGAGGCGACGAGTCAGATGGAGCCGTGGGAGGTGCACATGTTGGAGTTACAAGTGCGTACATAATTCGGACGATTCAGGAAAGCAGGTCATGTGCAGCATAGTGGTTGGGTTTTATCTCGACAAAACGCTCCCGCGGTGGGGCGGTGGAAGTGTCGACGTCCCTCACATTGCCAGGCTTGCTGCCACGTAGCCAAGTTCTACGCGCCGCAGATTAGGGAGAGGCTGGGCGGGCCGGTGGGCCACCTATGATCTCGGGCGTGATTCAGCGTGCCTCATGTTTTCAGTCTAACACCTATCGCTGGCTCTGTCGGTCCTATCGGCTACAGACCCACGTTGCGCCTGATTGACGCACCTTTCTTCTGGTGTGTTGATGAACTTTGCCAGCACAGAAAGAACACGCAAGGCCGACTATTATGCTGCGATTCGTGGCACTTGCCAACCCACCAGGATAGCTGACGTGCCCAGAGACTCGCAGTGTCAGCCTCAGACCTCAGACGAGGTGTGATGAGGAGTGCAATCTTCCTGTAGCATGACCTGCATGGCATGGGGCCTTGCAGGGCAGTGGCCTGCTCTGGTCCCTCGGCACTCTGGCCTCGCTGGCATGTTGAGAATTACATGCAGGTTACTGCAGGTTTCTTTCAATTCTGGATCTGTTTAGGACGCATAGCTTGGCTGTCGTAAAGCATGTCCTCGTTTACTGCCCTCGACGCCGTGTGTGCTTGTGATGTGTCGCCAGGCTGCAGTGCTTGCGGGGCAGCGCAGAAGGACTTCGAGAGTGGCCCGTGATGCATGCGTGTGTGGGCGCTCGCACAGGGTTGTGACACAGGAGCTCAACTGCTTCAAGACGGAGGATTCTGCAAGAAGCTTCGCAGATTGAGCTGTACCTATGCACGCCGGGACAGGGACCCAAAACGGACTCCTTCAGTTTCTCTTTCTGCTGCTTTGCTCGACTCGTTGAGGCTCTGTCAGCCGACGAGGCATTCTGCGGCTCCTTTCTGGCCGCGTTGGCCTGGCAAACGCTACCGCGTGCAGCTGCCAAGGATTAGGGCGGTGAGGGTTCGCACCTTGTCACCTCGTGCCTTCAAGGAATCTGAGCCAGGCCTACGGCACTTCTCCCTCTCTGAGAGCACTCCACCACTGGGAACCATGTTCTGGCCTGAGTCGAAAGTTGCGGTGAGACGAGTAGCTCAGTTGTGCGGAACACTCAAGTCGTGCATTCCATGAAAGGGCGTTCCTGAGCGCAGGCACCTGGCAGCACACATTGCCGAAACCTTACTTTCCAGATTCCATGGGGCTTCGATGTGGCCGAGTGTGGATGCCTGAGGTGTGCGCCAGCTGCGTCTCTCGCAGTCCTCCTCCTGCCTGGTTGGACAGCCTCTTAAAGTTGAAAGGTCCGCAGGTGCAACTGCAACAGTTCAGCTGGCAGACTGCCGAGGCATCTGCGTTGCCAGCAGAGGAGCTCAGTGCGGATATGCACCTTGCCTGAAATGGGGCCAAGATGTGAAGATGTGTGTGGGGATACCGGCCTCGAGTCTGGGTCGCCCACAGGTTTCATGTCGTGACGACGCTGGCGCACGCCTCGGTAAGCACAACTTTCTGTAATGGGTAGCAGCGAGGTGTTTGACACATTTATGTCAGTATATGTCAGTCGACAGATGGAGAGAGCAGGTTGCAAAGGATTGGTTCTGTAGCAGGTTCTGCTTGTACCAGCGGTTCGACTCCAGCTGACGACTAGTGGCAAAGGAAGCTTTGAGCGTTGCAGGTGCTTGTAGCTCTGGCACAGGGACGCTTTGCACACTTTTCTGTCTGGCAGCTACGGGTTTCAGCATGGTGCTCGGCAGCATCGTTATGGCCCAGCCGCCTTTCCAAGGCAGGCCGACGGGTGTCGAAGGTCAGTGAGTGTAAGCTCTCCTTCCATACGGAAAGCCATCCACCTTTGGTTTTCGACTGTAAATGTTCTTGGACACCGAAAAGATGTATTCAAGTGACGACTGGTTTGCCTAGCCTGCAAACGAAGACATGTTTGAGGGCCCACGGGATGCTTCTTATGCAAACCCTCACAGCTTGTGCAGCAGTTGTGATTTGCCTTTGGTTTTGCAGTTGCCATGAATATAATAATAGCTGGGAGAGGAGGGCCGGGAGAAACGACCGAGACCAACCAGCGGGTATGTGTTTCCTGTGTTTGCCAAGCATACCTGTTGGCCTAGGTGCTTGTTTTGGTCCTGCTGCTGTCGCTGCGCGGCCTCACAGCGGGTTGTGGCCTATGGACCCTTCCACAGGCTCAACTCGGGGCGCGTCATGCGGAGTGCCACTTGCCACCACTCTGTACCGCACCCGGTTGTACAGTTGTACGATCATCTCAGGTGTAGTCAACTGCAAGTTTCTCAGCAAGTCCTGTTGCGACGGCACACCGTAATAGTAATCAGCACATCCACGGCAACCGGTCGAATTCGTGAAGATGGAACAGCTTCGAAGCCAAAGCATGAGATTCTTGCTTCAGGAAGATGTCCTGCCTGCCCCAGCCAAGGCAAGTATTCACTGACAGGTTTCTTTGCGTCTCGCGGCAGCTTGTGGTCAGGATTTGGAGATGGACGAGCCTGAAAGCATGAGCTCGCTACTTAGTATGTTGTTATGTTTGGTTTCCAGTGCGGTCTCGCCCCGCTCGGTGGTGCGGTCCCTTGTGTGCAGTGGCTCGTCTCTCGCTCTCTCTCGCTCTCGCTCTCGCTCTCGCTCTCGCTCTCTCTCTCTCTCTCTCTCTCTCTCTCTCTCTCTCTCTCTCTCTCTCTCTCTCTCTCTCTCTCTCTCTCTCTCTCTCTCTCTCCCTCTCTCTGTCTTTCTCTTTCTCTCTGTCTCTTTCGCTTCTGCGGTTGTGCAGAAATTAGCCTGCGGAGATTTGGCTTTGTTTTGCCGGCAACCCTGCCCAACAACAGCAATGACAGTCATGCAGCTGGCAAACTCAGCCACTGTTGACATGTCTAAGATGCGAAGCTGCCGTGCCGGTCGAAGAGTTGTGGAAAGTCGAGTCACGAGGCAGGTGTCACGAACAGGTCGAATCCCTGCGACCGTTAGCATTTTCTGCATCGCGGCGACGATCCGAATCCCACGAAGACCACGACGGTCACAGACATCACGACGCAGATCGGCCGGATCCGACACAGGATCGGGGGAGGGGTGGGACCCGGAATCACGCATGAGGTTTATAGGAGGCGTGTTTGTAGTCCGAGTCAGTCATCTGCAGCCGTGTAGCCACGCTTGCACAGACGTTCACCTCTCAGACTCTCCTTGCAAAGCCCTATCGATGACAGGGGACTGAGACAGGCTAGCGGCTAGGTGCCCGGGCAAGGTGCCTCTCACGGCATTCGTCAAACTTGAGTGATGAGCGCAACGAACCCTTCGTTTGTCAGTGGAAACATGTATTGGCCCATCCAAACACTCATTTTGCTTCGTAGCCCTGCTGGGGCTCATGGTGGTGCTTACCAAGTGGCCTTGCCAAGACTATGCAGAAGCTGGCAGATGGAGTTCGACTGGAATGGCACAGGGAGCCCTTCGCTGTAGTTTTCAAGCCAAGCGACTTCTCAGTGGTCGCGGATCACGGTCACTGCCTAACAGCTTGGGCATTGCAGGCTCTTGGGGGCAAATGGGTACTAGCTTCGGCCGCCAGGGATGCAACAGCAGGTCTGGTGTTGCTATCTCGACCTGGATATGACGGATCGAGTGTGCCGGTCCGAGGGACCTATGCACTGCTTATCACCGTAAAAGATCGGCACGAGGGCTTTCCCCAACATGTGGAAGAGGCATTGGAGTTTTTCGGGGGTCTAGATCAGGAAGCCAGGCTTGTGACAAGCTCACCTTCCGGGCACTTTGGCTACATCGCAACGATCGAGATGGACTGTTGCTTAAGCGGTCCCACGGCGGTCGCTCCACTAGATGCTGTTTTGGCTGTGCAAGAGCTGGGCTTCGTGGTTCTCCGCATAGCCAAGGGACGGAGCCGAGATGTGATTGACCCGCATGGGCAAGCTCAGACCAGAAGTCAGCAAGACGTGCTGAGCGGAACGTGCGTCGAGGCTGTGCGCCTGGTTCCGACCGATGCCGATGCTGTCCACAGGGAGCTTCCGGTGAAATGGTCCAGCTTCCTCTCTCTTGAAAGAAGCCTCGCTGAGCAAAAGGTGCAGCAAGAGACGGTTGAGTTTTGTGATTTGCGGCTTCTGGTACCATCGGAACAACTTCGACCTCGGAAGTCCTCCGCTCCCTTAGTACACGCTGCTATCGACTGCATCAAGAGTCGGAAAGGAAGTTCAGTTCTTGACCTGGGAGTTGGTTGTGGAGCTTTGCTGCTGGCCGTCCTCGCCAAGACGGAAGCTGTTGGAACGGGAGTGGACGTGGACGAAGGTGCCATCGCAGCGTGCGAGGCCAATGCGGAGAGCCAACTGCCTGCCAGCAAAGCTCGCAATTTCAGCACGGCTTGTGCTGACTTCACAAAGCTGGACGCGCCGGAAGTGCGAGCCCAACTCCACTCAGAAGGATACGATGTCATCATCTGCAACCCACCCTACAGATCTACAGCCCAACAGGAGGCATATAATCAAGCTTCGGGCCAACACGGAGGCTACGAAGAACACGAGAAAACACTGGTCGCAGGCGAGACTGGTCTTGAGATGTATGAGGCGATTTCCAGATGTCTTGTTAAGGATATGCTTCAAGCGCAGAAGAGACTTTTGTCACCGCCAGCGCCCATTCTGAAGCTGGACGGCTCATTGATCTTCCAGGTCGAGGCTGGATCCTTCGGACGTCTCGGAGGAGTGGCAAAGAAGGTCGCTGCCGCCATTCACAAGGCATCAGATGGAAAGCTGAAATTTCAGAGAATCATTCAAGACGAGAAGCAGCTGGATCGTGCAATTCTCTTGAAGTGGTCATGGTGTGACTGAGCACTCTGCAATGCTACACAAGGCAAGGAGGTGGCTCCTTGTCAGGAGAGAGAGATCCTGCAACGCAGGCAAAGCATTACAACTCGTCTGAAACTTGTGATGCCAGTGAAGCAGCGCTTCGGCTCAGAACCGACGGTGCCAAAATTTAAATGGCGGTGCAAAGCTTTTGTTCGATGTGCCGGGAAGCTCTCAGCTGTGCCGTCTCCTGCCTTCTCACCAGAAGCTCAGGTCAAGCAGCTCCCGATTGGGAGCCACTCCTCTGGCAGGCAGGCAATGGAGAGAGCCCCCTTTGTTAAGTCGCATACAGCACCTCCTGCCTTCCGCTCTCAACCAGACAGGGAAGCCACCAGCCGCACCCATCGTGCCAGGGATTGCGAGTCCTCTTGGAGCAGCTGAAGGCAAGCCTCGTTGGCTCGCGCACGGATATGGTGGGAGTTGTGCTCAGTCGATGGCAGGGCAGCTCGCATGAGCAGCGGCGCTTGCTGCGCAGTGGCGTGTTGCCGCAGCTCAGTTTGGCAATTAAGAGACTTTGTGTGCTGAATCCTGCGTGACATGCAGCTAAATGCACAACGGACGTGAGGTCAATGGTTGCTACTCTCTTCTTGGAGCGAAGCACTCCGGAGGTGCTCTGTCATCTTGCTTCGTTGTTGTCTAGCGCCTTGTGCAAGAGCGGGAGGCATGTAATCGGTGAGCAACGACTTGATGTCGCTATATCTCCCTCGCAGAGTCGCAAGGCAGCTTCTGCAGCTCAAGATGTTGCTCTGCCCGGGGCGCAGCCATCACCTTGCCACGAGCGAATCGGAGGGCAACCGTGTGCTTCAAGGCTTGGGGCCTCCGCCTCGTCGCCCCGGGCATCATCTGGATCCGTCAGACTCTGAGTGCGACAGGCTCGAATTCCTCGGCTGAACCAACAGCGAAGCCGTAAAGACCTTCCCAAGCGGATCAAGGCAGTCAACAGTAGGTAGCTGTGGTATTTCGCTGAGATGTGGGCTCTGAGGACGGTGAGGACGGAAATCGCTTGCGCTCAAGTTTTGGGCCTCAGCGAGAGTAGGCTACGCTGGTAGGCGTAAGCTTCTGCAGCTGTTTGGATGCCTCTGAAAGACTTGAGGCGCGGACAGGCGGCCCAGTGCAGCGCTGGCTGCGCTCACTGCGCCGGCCTCACATTTCTTGAGAGGTGGCTTTAGTTTGATGCTCCGATGGGTGAAGTTTGACAAAGTGCGCTGCAGTACTCTTTGCAGCTAAGGCAGCTGTAGATGGAAGCCTCTTCGGCGAAAAGCTCCGAGCTTTTCTAGGCCAGGTGCATGCCTTGTGTCACACATGCGATCGAAAGTAGATGAGCAATGAATCTGACCACGGCATTTTGTTCTGGTGTGTGTTCGGTCCCAATTACGGTCACAAACTCAACAAACCCAACGCAGCAACACTAGAACCATCACTGCGAAATAGACACCAGCACTGTGCACATTTGTGGCCATATCAAGCAAAATAGAACAAAACAAAACCACTATACAAGAAGCACACAACTACGAGCATTAAACGGCCATCTCAAGCAAAGAGAACCAAACCAAATAAGCAGACACCTCATATTCCTGCCTTTCGTGGCTTGGTTTGGGATGTCCTTTTAGAGCCAAAGTTTAAGCTTCCTACTTCCAAGCGGGCCTGTGACAATCTGAAGCAGTGACCAGCAAGCTTCGCCTGAATCTGACCTGATGGAGCTTGAGCACAAGAATCGGAGAAGCGGAATCGGTATGCGTCAACTCTGCAGGTCACCTTTGGAACCACTTGTTTTGCAGCACCTCTGAAATTCCGATCCGCAGTTGTCACTCCTTGGTACATGCAGTTTTTGTCGGGTGGACTGCTGACTGTAAGTGCCAGATGTTCTTAAACAGTGCACCTGTATGTACAATCATCGCCACAACTGGGAAGGACGATGCTAGTTCCCAATGAAATTCTGTAGTTGAGGCAAAGAAATTCTGACAATACCGGAAGCTTGCCCATCAATGGCTAGTGTTTGCTTGTCTGAGCTCCGGCACGTGAGTCAGTTGCAGGCTGTGTGGTTGGCGAGCTCACATTGGAAAGGCCTTGGCTGCAAAACACCACTCTGCCACATGCATCCTGTTTGCGACTCGCAATAAGCCGAGCTCCTCCTCCTCCTCCTCCTCCTCTTCCTCCTCCTCCCCCCCTCCTGCTGTGTTGCAGTAACTAGCCCACGACCTTCTTGCGGTGTGAGAAGAGTTCGAAGTTTCCGGGGAGTGGCAGACAAGTACGCGCTGAGTCGCTGAGCTGGATACAGGCTGGTGCTGCTGCTAGCCGGAATTCGGCGTCGCCCATCTGCCAGCAGCGGCGCAGGATGTGTTTCAAGTGTTTTCTCTTGGCATTGCGCGCACAAGCTGCAGACGGGCGGCATTCAAATGGCTTTGGAAGCACCAGCCAGGACATTGGATCACAAGTTGGTATGATGCGCGGGCCTCGAGTCACAGAGAGCCCTGATCGGTGCCTTGGCACATCCAGCCGTCTTTTGTTGAGTAATGTGGCAGAGACACGGTTGACGTAGCCGGGAGGCTCTCCTGGCATCCTTGCGCCGACTTCACGGTCGCTTCAGGCACCGCGGATCACGAAGTAAATACAGTTCCATCAAACCTGTTCTCGCAGGTTGCAGCTGCTGCGAGCTGCATCAGAGGTGCATGGTCCTTCACTCAAATCCTTTTGCGCGGCTGTTCGCCTTTGACATGTCAGGTCACGGAAAGTTTCGAGAGGCGAGGAGCCACCCTTCCAGATTGCTGACTGCACTTTGTGCCCTGCCAGAGTGGTACAGTACCTTCTTCGAAGAAAAGTGCTGAAGCACAGAGAAAATGTGATCGCATTGACAGGTGGCCGCTGGTGCTGTGTGCGGAGGAGCACGAACTCGCCAAAGCCCTTTCAACGGCCAGCGGGGCTGCACAGTGTCATCCAATCCTGGCATGGAGATTACGTTGCAAGATTCTTCGGAATGGCTCCAGCATTTTCTGCGACCGACAGGTTCGATGATGTGAGTACACCATCGATGCCACATGTATATGAATCCTCAGGAGACGAAGTACTACAGTACTGTACCAGCACACCAAACAGGTGCCTCGCATGACAAGCCTGCACGGCGAGACCCATCGGGCAGGCTTTTGCGACCAGTGGTCAAGCCTTCCTGGCACTGTGGCCAAGGGCTCACGTTCAGTGAAACACCGTGGCATGGAGTGTGCTCATGTTGTGGCTGCGCTAGCATCAGGCGGCAGCTGCACGGCACACGCCGTTTGCAACTTCTCTTCGCGCACCATCCAAGGCTGCAGTTGCGGTGGCTCGCATTCTTCACATATATTGTGTGTACAGGGTAGGTCCCAGGCAGGTAGGTAGGTAGGTAGAGGTGTGTGTGTGTGTGTGTGTGTGTGCGTGTCGAGGTTGATTTCTTCTATGTTCCTTAAGATGCGCCAAGGTGTTGGACAAAGGCTCCAGATGATTGTGATTTTAAATTCCAGTGGCTGGCTCCCGCACTCATCCTGGTGTTGCAGATAGGAATGTTTGCTATCGCTTGTCCCTTATGAATCACTATTGACGGTCCTCTATGACTGATCCACACAAAACAGCTCACGCCAGATTCAATTGCAGATGCTTGCACGGTTTCGTTTGTCAGCTTCTGCCAGAAACTCTCCCTCGTGATTTAGAGATTTTAGAGGCGTTGCAGGTTGACTAGAAGCATCAGCTGCGAAGACCGATGCGACGTGTCACTCTGGGAAACTGTCTCCAGTCTGCGGCGTGCAGCCGGCATGATCTGTCTGCCTGCCTGTCTATCTCTGTATGTGTATCATATGCCGTACTGATATGCATTATTCAGTACATTCTGTTTATCACGTCAAGGACACCCTCTTGAATACTTGGGGTGCGACATCCTGCCCGGGCATGTCACAACAACACGCACGGGCGTCTGTTCATGCGATCTGAAACCATGGTTAACTATTATTGAATCATTTCAAATCGATAGCCGTAAGTAGCAGACCCGAGTGGCTGAATTCAAGCCTGGACATTGCTGCTGAAGGCTGCTTCTACCATCATCGGGACTGCACAGGCTTCCTGGGGAAAGACTCTAGGGGGGGGGGGGGTGTTTGGGTTTAGGGAAGAAAGCACGCAATATGTGAATGGCCAATTCTTGTCGCACGATCATTGCTCAGCATGAGATGTGAGGCTTAGAAGCCGGAAAGCATCCTGTAAACTTGTGCAAGACAAGAGTACTCTGAAACGCCACCATCGCGAAATGCGAGCTGATCCTCGAAGCTTGGGCCAGACAGGGCTGCAAAAGTGCAGTGCCGTGTTCTGGGCGAGAGCGGGGGTTTCGCAGAGTTGAGAGATTTTCGGTGGCAGTACTTGTCGTACTTATCTTCCGGGCCTGCTCTTCCCTTTGCGCTGCCAGGCGAAAAGCTGTCCTTTGGCGAGGCTCGTCTCGCATCCCGTTGCAGTGGCTTTCGTTTTTGGATCCCCCATCGGCACAGTCCATCGGTTACTTCAGTGTCGCGACCGTGGTGCCTGGCTCAAGCCTTGTGAGGGCATTGTTTCATCATGCGTCGCTGGGTCTGTTGAATGCCTGCCTTTGCTCGCCCCGACGTGGCAGCGGCGCGCTGCGCAGAGGGTGGGAGAGGCCTGGGCATGCTGCCGTATTTAGATGATTTTGGATGCTTAGCTGCTAAGCACTCTTGGAAGACAGTCGGAGATTGATGGAAGGATCTTATGGACATCCTACACTGCCTCGTGCCAAGATGAGATTTCTCATGTAAGTAATTCTCGCAAACGGAGATGTGTAATCAGGTCACCAACACAGATTCATTTGCGCAGAGATGCATCCTGAACAGAGCAGGATGTTGACAACGAACCCATGGTAATGCGATAGTGGGTAGCATCTTCGAGAGCTGGCTGCAGCCGACGTGATGTGCGCATGTACGGCTTTCCCAGTGTTGCCTCTATAACATGTGCTAACGGCT